CTAAACCCCTAAACCCCTAAGTCCCAAACCTTAAGAACCCGAGGTCCGCAGTGCCACCATTGCTTGGGTCTCTGCAGTCTTTGGGTCGGTGCCCATCGCCCCTTTGCCTGGAAGAATTTTGCAGAGTTTATATGAGCTAAAGTCTAAACTCCTTAAAGGGGGTTATATAGGGGATTATATAAGGGAGTACTATAGGGGATATTAAGGGGGATACTAGGAGTTTAGACTATAGAGTTTATATAGGGGTTTCCCAAAATTAGGGGTACCTTTTTGGGAAGCCTCTGGCTCAGCATTTGCACGTGGTGAGGTCGCGGTAGGCCCCCCCTATGCGAAGCTGTGCTTGCAATGGAGACCTCCTGTAGTGATTTACTGTTCCATGACTTGGCGGGGCTTCGTGACTTTGCACGTGAGAAATGGGTCGATCTGGGGTGCGACAACTGTTGTTTCCGTTTACAGAAGTTGGGCGAACCTACTTTCTGCCCAGATTCGGTGTTGATCAGAGCTCGTGTACTGGAACAGTGCACCTTCAGTCTGCACAATGAGCGGATTGAGAACCTGTACAAGCTCGAGGCCGGACATGTGGTTGCGCTACGCCTTCGTACTAGTGACTGGTACACTCTGATTTCTCACGTGGACTCTTTCAAGGCATTGTGGGCTCAGACGCGGTGCAAGGACAAGGTTGTGGTTTTGGATGCTATGGTAGGCCACTTTTTTCTGTCCGGATACATTCCTTTGCAGAACAATGAGACCGTCAGGGTAGCTGAGATGTTCTCCGGAGGGTTTTGTGGATGGAGCCAAGCAGCCTACTGCTTGCACGAGTTTGGGGTCAATCTCCGCACGACGTGGTTCTTGGATAAGGATCCAGCTGTTTTGGAGACTACGTCCATTGCGCATCCTGGGGTTAAAGCCATCCAAGGCCCTTCTGGTTTTGATGAGGTTGACTTCCCTAGCGAGCAGGCTCTCATCATTGCGGACATTCAAGACTCATGGTGGCAGAATATTTGGGCTTTAAGCACCCCTGACATACTTGCTGCTTCACCACCGTGTCAGCTGTGGTCTGTTGCGCGCAAGCAGGGTGGATTGGCCACCCCAGACGGTGCTTTGTTTCCTCTCCTTGCGAAGATTGCAGGCTGTAGCCAGGTGCCGGTTGTATGTGTTGAATAAGTTCAAGGTTTCCTCTCACATCCGGACGCACACGCAGTGCTTGAGGAATGGAAGGCTGCGGGCTACCTCTTGCAACTCAGACAGGTTGTTAATCTAGCGGATGTTGCTCCCACGCAGAGACCGCGCTTGTCAATGATCTTTGTGCATCATGAGGCCCAATGCCTGCCAGGAACGTTCCAAGTAGCTACTTGGCAGCCTTTGCCGAGGCCTTCCTGGGTCACCAACAAGTGCTACTTCCCAGTCATTCCTAAACCGCTGCTCGAGCTATGTATCCTTACAGAAGACATCATGGCTAAGTACCTCGACCCATGGTACCTGAATGCTAGGACATGCCCTACAAAGTTCAGGCTGTGCAGCCTTCTAGGAAAGGCGCAATGTTTCATGGCCATGTACAATCGTCAGCATGAGCTCCCAGAGGACCTCCTGGCCTCTAAAGGATTGCTAGGAAGCCTACTGCAAACGGAAGCAGGCCGCTAGATTTTTCAGTGCCCCCGAGGTCGCAACTTGCCACAGGTTGGTGGCCTTTTTGCTGATCCCTGCTCACGATCATGTTGCCATGCAGTTCCTTGGAAATGCCATAGCGGTGCCTCATGCAGTGTGGGCGTTGGCACATGGAGTCCAATGTTTTCCGGTCAACAAGTCAGTGGATCCAGTAGAGGCTCTGCACCAGGCACATCATCTCCGTGTAAGATCTGACACCTGTGCATTGCTGAGGGTTCAACACGGGTGGCTTTTGACAAGCCTACAGAGTCTCTCACGCGCGTTGGCGCATCAGTCACTCCGATTGCAAGTTGAGCGGGGGTTAGCTCCTCTTCAAGTGGAGTTCTACAGGGTTGATGTGACCTTAGGTAACCCTGAGCATGAGACATTGGAGATTTTCTTCTCAGAGCACTTGCAGCCGCAGGAGGCTCTCCAAGCGTTTGGATTGCGATGGGATGGGGCACTTTTTGCCTGTGCCTCAAAGGTGTTACTTCAAGGCCTTGTGTGCATACCATGACTGTCAGGTCTGGATCGGTGCGTGACCAGCTGCTCACTGGCCACCCGTTTGCCGTAATGCCCGCGCTTGGATGGACAGTTCACATCGAGAAATTTTCCAACAGGCTTTCGGCCCCGTGTACCTTGCGCTGCATTTCAATATCTGGGCGCAGCTCCCACAGATGGTCAGGGTCTGGCATGTTGCATCCTTCCTCGAGGCTAACCGCTGCCCCGCCTCCAGGCCTCATTGATTGCGTGTGGAGGTTCAGGAGTGTGCTAGGACAATCTGGGATGGCAACCTTGCGGCTGACTTCAGTCTAGAGACCTTGCAAAGATTGTGGCAGGACTCCTCCAGTTGGCTACGGTTGCTCACCGGGATTCGCGTCTTCAGTGGCCCGTTCCCCCAGGTCCATGCCCGCACTCTTGCAGACGTGTGCGCGAGCACGAGAAAGGTCATTCGCAAGTCAGGGGCGGTCCTTATTTCCTTGATGGCGGAAGTAAGAGGTGGAGGCGTAAAAGAAGAAAACCGGCAGTTAGCAGTCACGTGCAGCCGCGTCACTCTTGGACAGAGGAGTGAGCTTGACTGAGGCCTCCGAGGCATCAGAGAAACTTATCTCCAAGTCTGGAGCCAACCAAGTACTTACGGCCCTCCAGGCTGCGGATGTCTCGTCCCGGTGGACAGCCCTTGAGCCAAACAACATGACCTGGCCTTTTCACCATCGGATAACCGCACGGAGAGAGCCGTTCGCCGCGTGGAGAGAGCAGTACAAAGACGGAAGCTGCGTCAGTCACGAGAGGTCACGGCGACCGACTTTCAATTGGACGCTTCCTTTTGGCTCAGTATGGACGGGATGCCTGTGCCCATCCTGAGCAGGGTGGCGCTGCATTCCTCAGGTGTGTTATTGCGAGATGTCCACAGCGTCTCGCCAGACGACTTTAGGCTGTGGCAGGAGATGCAGTCCGACCACTTGTGTGGTGGTGGTGGTGGTGGTGGTGGTGGGCCACCAATGCCCGCATGCAGAGACTTGCAGTGGAAAAGTGACATCTCCAGCTTTTTGCAACCGCACAGGTGACCGCCATTTGCTGGCGTGCTGCTACCACGATCTGGGCTCTACACCCATTCGCCCTACATTCCACACGGATGCAACGGTGGATGTGTCCACCGCCATTTGTTGTAGCTTTGCCATGTACCGAGACGATTTGCCACAAGGCCTCAATTGGCAATCAGTTGTGGCTGGTCCTGTCAAAGCCGTTCAGCATGCCTTCAGTGAGGTGGGCATCAGTAAGGTGATCTCCAGCCCATGGGGCCGTACATACCAGTGTGCGGGCAAGCCGAGTGTGCCACACCTATGTGATACATTCATGTTTAGGGCCAAGGTTTCCAAGGCGGACATCGGACCGCTGCTTCAGAAGAGTGGTTTCAACCATGTGTTCTTGGTCCCCAGGGACGCTGAAAATGGCCCCATGACAACATAGAAGATCATTTGGCTGTCAACCTCTTGGGAGGAGGCTGTTAAGCAGAGCTTGCTGGTTCCCCAGCAGCTCGGCCTTGTGAAAACCAGGGGCAAGTATGGCCTCCGGGGTCTTTCAAAAAGCTCCGCCCGACTGACACCCCGCCAGTTCAGATTGATGTCAAAGAGCTTTACAAGCTGGGACCGTTGCCAGTGGGGGCCACGAGTGCATCTGTCACTGCATGGATCGCCGCCGTAAAATGGCCTGCCAAAGTTCTTAAATCCCTTGGCCCTTTGCGCTGGCTTGTAGGTGCTGCAATTAGCCCTGCTTCAGAAGTGCCGTGTTTCAACGGCGCTCCTGTCTTGCTCTCACGTGTCCAGCGGTGGTCACGGGCAACAAACCATCTTGGGGTGGCTCCAGGGCCCGAGACCCACCTCAGGAGCCTGAGGAGGCGGACCCTTGGTCCAAATACCGCTCAGCAAAAGGTGAGACCATGTCCGCAACGCCTGCATCCTCCACTGCCGGATCTTCTGAACCTACTACACTGTCTCGCTTGCAGGCGCTGGAGACTAACCTTGCAGCCATGCAGGCACTTCAAGGCCAGGAGCGACAGCAACGCCTCGAAGGATTTCACGAAACTGAGAGGAGAGGTCCAGACACTCAACAGTGGCCTTGCGTCCCAGCTACAAGCCAGCCTGGATAGTTTGCGCTCCGCCCAGCAAAGCCAGGAACGCCAGACGGCGCAAGGGATGGAGGAGCTCAAGGCCCTCACTATGTTTGGACATGCCAAGAAGCAGCGCGCTACCAATGACGACCTCTAAACTTTGGTGCCGATGCAGCCAGGCAGGAGACCTGGCACTGGGGTTCCGCCACAGTGACCATGCGCCGTGATCACGTGTGGCTGGGTTTTGTATGTTCACTGCAGGCCAGTGAAGCCAAGGGGGTTTTTCTTAATCATTGCCACGCTCAGGGGCCCTCAGGTGGTTGCCTGCCTGCACCATGGATGGCCTCCCATAAGCACGTGGCGTTGTCCTGTTTTCGCTTCTGGGTCTTGGAGGTAGGCTCCTCTAGAATCGATTTCTTGGGACGTGTTTGGTTTTCTTTTTCTTTTGGGTTATGCCTTGGGAGTACTGCACTTTGTCTTCATGGGTTCTGTCAAAGTGTCTTGGGACTGAGTACCCTCAAGGTTTGTCATGGGCAGGACATTTGCAAGCTTGTTAGCCTGGTGGGCCATGTACGTGCTGACTGGATTCAAGCTCAACTCATCTGTGTTCCAACTTACCAGATGACCATTACCTGCGCCCATTTCATGTGTATGCCCTTCCCATGGGCCTTCCTTTTGCAAGCGCCTCGGACGCACCCTGCAAGACATACTGTTGCAGCCAGGTATATCGGGGTGCCACAATCCCTTGCAATGCGCTCTCGCATCATCACTGGCGTTGCCGTAAGTGCGGTGCCTCAATCCATGTCAGTGCTTCCGCCCCGGTTGGCATTACCACGAGGTTT